GGTTGAGGGGCTTTCACCCAGCCCCTAGAGCCTGGCACTTTGATCTTGGACTTAAAGCCTCCAAATTGTAAGAATAAACTCCTGTTTGTTAAGACCATCCCATTTGTGGTATATCTCTTGTCAGAGCAGCACTAGGTAACCAGAACAGATAATATCTCCAATGCAAAGGTTGATAGGTTTCCTTATAATTTTCATAAAAGTTTGGGGTTTCCTAAGTTTAAAGTTCCTCAACTATGACTAAAACCCCACAGCATGTGTAGTATTCACCTAGGCCTGTCTCCATGTCATCCCCTTGGGACTTGGAGGAGAAGAGGAACTGATGTGAACATTAAGCTCATGCTGTGATTAATAAAATACTTTTATTCTGCCCTAGGAGTCTTCTGCCAGCATCTGTGAAACTGTGGCAGGCTATTAGCTTGAAAGTAGGGTATAATCTTAGATTCTTTAGTTCTTAAAACCAGAGAAGACGCTACTCTATCTTCTTCCAAGAGGATGACAATTTAGCTGCCAGCCTTCTAAGAGCTGAGTACAGGAAGAATGTTGGGAATCTCTGCATTCAGTACTCAATATACATATATATACTCAGATACTCATGCTTTCAGTCTTATCAGGTGTCTTCCAGTTCAGAGCACTCTTGTTTTATCTTCTCTAGGGAATAAATCCCTGGACAAGTTGCTAAGCATGTAGTAGAGCAGAGCACATGAGGATCTGTTCTAGTCTTTGCTAATAATCACTTCTCAATGATAAAGTATTAGTTAATTTATTAATTTTTATTTTCCATCAACCCCCCCCTCCACACACACATACACACACCACTATTAGAATGTAAATTCCACTAGTCTAGAGATTTTTTATCTCTTATTTTGCTATGTCTTCAGCACCTGGAATGTTGTGCCTGGCACATAATAGGTATTCCGTCAACATTCGTTGATTAGATATGTGAATGAATGACTAGAAGGAAGTTACACATCTGTTGCCCTTTGCTCCTGGTTTGAGAATAAAGTTAAGGAGCAGCTTTTTATTTGTTAGACATTACTACATCTTTTTAAAAGCCTCAAGTATTGTTATTAATTGAGGATATAAGTAATTTTCATGAAAAGTTCATTATTCTTAGTAATTCCAAAATAATTTGGAATTACAAATTTTGTGTGTCATTTTTTTATCCAATGATAGAATCTTTTTTAGAGCATTCATAAATGCAGTCTTCTTTCTTCCATCTGGGCGTTTCTAGTAACCTCAATAAATACTGTATATATTTTGTTGGTAGAGTCAGTGGCTTTTTCTGAAGAATTGGATGTGGGACATAAAGAGAAGAATCAACAAAGATCACAGAGTTAGTGAGTGGCAGAGCCAGGGCTTAAACCCAGCCAGTCTGGTTCCAGATTTTGTACTCTAAACCACTGTACATTGCTACTTCTAGGAAGAAGAAAGATCTAGACAAAAAACACTAAAAAGGAATGGCCCATTTAGGTAAGAGCAAAACCAGAAGAATGGGATATCCAGGAAACCAAATTAGTGTTTCAAGAATGGAGGACTGGGTCACTGTGTCAGATGTTGATGATAGGTCAAGTAAGATGAGGTCTGAGAAGTGGCCATTGGATTTAGCAAAGCAGAAGTCATTGTATATAGTGATAAGAGCAATTACATGATTTGATAAAGACTTCAATAAAGTCTAATTGGAATGTATATTAATTATCTATGGCTGTGTAAAAATATACCCCAAAACTGAGCAGTTTAAAACAACGAACCCTTATTATCTCACACTTTCAATGAGTTAATAATCCTGAAGCAGTTTAGCTGGTTGCCTCAGCTCAAAGTCTCTCGTGAACTTGCTGTTAAGCTATTGTTGAGAGTTACATTCATCTTATGTACAACTAGGACTAAAGGATCCACTTCCAAATTCACATAGTTATTGGCAGACCTTGGTTTTTAACCAAATGAACCTCTCTATAGACTGCCTGAGTATCCTCAGGATGCAGCAGTTGGTTTTCCCCAGGCAGCAGTCAGAGAGAGAGAGAGACAAACAACCCTTATGGAAGATGCTAACACACTATATCACTTCTGTATTCACTCAGATCAACTCTGGTATATTGTGGGAAGTGGTTTACACTTGCCTGTTTAAACCAGTAAATGATACTCATTTGGAGACATCCTGGAGATTGGCTCCCACAAAGTGTAGGCTAATGCAAGAATGGGAGGAGATGAATTAGAGATAGAAAATTCCAAAAACTCTTAGAGTTTTGCCAGAAATGGGAAACAATCTTAAACTTAGAGAAAAATTGTAAGTACAATACAAAGAACTTATTCTCTGAACTATTTAAGAGTAATTTGCCAATATGATGTGCTGTCCTCTCCAAATACTTGAAATGTGTATTTTCTCCAAACAAGAATTCTTTTTATTGATATGTTAGTACCATCTCCTCCTCAGCCACATTTAGTTTTGCTGCTTGTCCCAGTGTCCTTTATAACAAGAATGTCCAGTTCTAAATTATACATTGTGATTAGTTATGTATTTTCAGTCTCCTTCAATCTGGAACACATTAAAAAAGACTGAGGTTTTTGATTTTCATGAACCTGACACTTTTGAAGACTATGGGCCTGTTATTTTATAATGTCAGCAATTTGCTTTGGTCTGAGATTTTCTTGTCATTAGGTTCAGATTATGCCTCTTTGACAAGACCATTTCAGAAGTGATGTGTTTTATCTCATTGCATGCTATTAGTTTGTACATGATTTCAGTTGTTTCATTACTGATGATATTAACTTGAGTTGTTTGATTGAGGTGGTGTCTATTAGACTTCTCCACTATAAAGTTATTCTCTTTTCCCTGTGTAATCAATAAATACCTTGTTAAAACTTTTTATTTCTTAGTTCATTATTTATTTATTTATATCATTATAGACTCATGATTTTCTCTTTTATTCAATGGATGTTAATCCATTACTATCATAATTTATTTTGATGCTCAGTCCAACCCAGCTAATGCCAGGAGGAGCCTCTCCAGGCTGGCTTCTATATCTCTTTAACATCTCCACTCATTCTTGGAGCACTTATTTTCTGACACAGAAAGATATTTTACACTTATCCTGTACTGTCTGTGCCCTACTTGGTAATCAGCCATTTTTCCTAAAGCTATGATTCCTTTTAATAAAGAATAGTATTAGAAACCAAAATTTGGGGTTGTGCTGCTCCCAGACCCTTTGAGTGGACAAAGCTATGGAGTACATATGTGTATGTACAAAAATACATATTTGCACCAAACCCACTGCCATCTGACTCTTGTGCTGGATTCATAGTGACCCTGTAGGGCAGGGTAGAACTGCACCATCAGGTTTCCAAGTCTGTACATTTTTATGGAAACAGATTGCCATATTTTTCTTCCATGAAGCAGCTGGTCAGTTTGCTCCAGCAAACTTTTGGTTGGCAACTGAGCACTTTAACCACTGCACCACCAGAGCACCTGTATATTTGCACATATTAATTTACATCTGTCTTTATCTACGTAAATACATAGTGAGAAGCATGAGCTCACATCGGTCTTTCCTATTCCAGTCCAGTACCATGTTGTTGTTGTTGTTTTGCCGTCGAGTAGGATTCATTTTATATTTATACCTCCCATCTCTGACAGTGAGTAACTTCACTCCATTATCTTTAATATATATTTTCAAATTTGATTAGTCCCTTACATGTACCAATCCTCTACCTCTGCTTAATCTTTCTCATAAATGCTTTCCTTATATCAGTTGGACTTTAACACCTCATGTTGGGCCATTTACCTTTGTGGACGATTTGCTTACTCCTCTTGGAATTGCTTATTCTTTGTGCCAGGAGAGCCTTCTGCAGAGATGTTCTCACCCACTTGTGCTCAATGAAATACGTCAGGCCACATACCTCCCAGTCCATCTGGAAGGCTTTCTCATATCTTTTAAACTCTTACACCCTGCACCAGAGTGCCCCTCTATAAGGATAACCCTCCTCACCCAAATTGATTTCCAACCTCCCAGGCTTAGCCACCCTCCAATGTGCTTGCCTTCCTCATCTTGCTTGGGCTCCCAGTACCCCACTCTAAGCCACTCCTCTACTTAGATTGCCCTCCTCACCCTGCACAGGCTCTAACATCAGGCCACCTCCCCATGTGGACATCCATCTTACTCCATTTGAACTCTAACATCCCACTTTTTATTTGTCCTACCCAGATGCCTACGTTGTTTGTCCCTACATAGTGGCTTTTGAACTGAATCATTGTGGAAGGGAAGGAAAGGAAGAGAAAGATGAAGCTCTGGTAGCATATGTTTGTTTTCCCTTCTCTAGGGGGGAATTGTTCATTCAGTGGTATAATTCTCTCTTTCCATCTGGGAGACCTGGGTTCAATTCACAACCAGTGCACCTCAGTTATAGTCATCACCTGTCTGTCATTAGTGGATTGGTTGTTGCTATAATGCTGAAGAAAGGCCTATGATCTCCTTCCAAAAATCCACCAGTGAAAACCCTATGGATCACAAAGATCCAATCTGCAACCCATTGTGGGATGGTACAGGACTAGGCAGGGTTTTGTTCCATTGTGCATAAGGTTGCTTTGAGTTGGGGCCAACTCGATGGTGGCTAACAAGACTTAACAACTGCGTGAACATCCTGTTTTTTTTTTTTTCCCCCACGACTGTTTCTCATTCCATGTTATTTCTAAAGGAAAGGGTAATCAGATCAAGATAGCAGATGGGCTATGGAAAACTAAGTTGCTTTCTTCTGTCATGTATAGATCATTTTTTCCCTCTAAAAAATCCATCTTGAGATTTCCTCATTTACGTTTCCAGGCTGAAATAAATTGTATGATATTTTTATAATGGTTATAATATATTTACTTAAATTAAACTTTTAGGGATGTTCTAAAGGCTCTATATAATGATAGTGACATTGGAGTAATAAAATCAAGCTTACAGGATTTTAAAGTAAAAATACTGATTTGCCTTTTATCTGTCAATTAAATATCTTGTCTGTTTCAGGTATGACTTTAGCTTTTCCAGCTTCAGTTCATGATTCTCTGATTTGCAGTAAAACATTTCAAATTCTATACAAAAATGAAGAGGTTGTTTTAAATGATGTTATGATCTTCAAAGTTAAAATGTTATTGGATGAAAAAAAGGTAAATATCTCTTCATATATATTTAGATAAATATTTTTTGCAAAGACTGAAAGCATATTTCTAACTTCCTATAAATATTCGAAAAGTTTCTTACATTGTTATTTCTCTTCAGATTGAAGAAACCCTTGAGGAAATTAGTTTTCTGTTATCCTTGGATCTGCACTTCACAGATGGAGATTATTCGTAAGTAGGCTTATCAACCATTTAAGAAAATCTTTAGGTACTCATAACTGTGTCTGTTAGTATTAGGTTCCCCATTTTCTTTTTAGAGTCCAACCTGTCACCTTGTTCATTTTGAGCTATTGTCTTCTAGGAGAATTTCATGAGCATGGCTAGGCCTATTCCTTTGCGCCCATGTTGATTCCATAAACCCAGGTAGCAAATTCAGACAAGTTGAAGAAATATGAAATCCATTGCTGGACTCTAGAAATTATGTTGTTGATATGATACCACCAACATGAGACATTTAAATATAACTGAGCTCTCTTTCACTATGTTATTGGCTAATCTTAGTGGCATGAAAAATGCCTTTTTTTAGGTGGAAATTTTTTGACATTCTGAGTTATTAAGATTGATGCTCTTAGAATTGACAATTGTTACCAGTTCATTGATTTCTAGAGCACTGGAGGATTTTAGGACTGGCCTAAGGCATTTGATTGCTAACTAGGAGGCTGGCGGTTCAAACCCACCAGCCACTCCTCAGAAGGAAGGTTGGGTAATCTACTTCCGTAGTGATATTGCCTCGGAAACCCAAGGAGGGGTCGCTATCAGTCGGATTCGACTCGATGGCAGTGAGTTTACCCTGAACTCGTCTACGCACCTGGACATATATATAATTTAGAGACATAGTTTGCTTTTATTTACTTAAAACAAGAATTGGCGATCCATTTAACAATTTTATATTTGGAAGGTTTTTATTTATTTTATTTCTTTTTCATTTCAAATGTAGTTTTACAAGTACTTCGAAAATTGTATGTGAATTCAGACTGCATATAGGATAAATGATTAAACAGTCGATATAACTAAAAGGCCTACTTTAGGTATTCTCTTCACTGTCTTGAAAGAATTTTTTCACATGGTAGCTACTGCTCCTCTTTAATACTTTTTGTTACAAGGAATTCTTTAAGAAATTTCTTTTTATAACCAAATTAAAATTCTATAAGTGGGGTAAGTTAAAATGAGTAAATATTTCATTAGCTTTAGATAGTTATAATTTATATATGAGTAAGAGAGTAATGTATTTAGATATTTTTATGGCATTGTTTCAAATATTTTGTATATGCAAATCTAATGACAGACTAAATAGCTGTAATCAAGTTACCTACCAATGACTCATTTTTAAGCAGCATTTAATAACAGTTTTATGTAGTAAAAGTAATTTGAAATATCTTTTGGGGTTTGTTATAATACTGACTTGACCTATCTTATACTGCCACCTTATAATAAATAGTATTCCCTATGGAGTAAGATAGGAACTCTGGTAGCGTAGTCCCTAAGGCATTTGATTGCTAACCAGAAGGCTGGCAGTTCAAATCCACCAGCCACTCCTTGGAATGAAGAGGTTGGGCAATCTACTTCTGTAGTGATACTGCCTCAGAAACCCAAGGAAGGGGTCACTATGAGTCAGGCTGACTCGACGGCACATAACAACAACAAGAACAACATGGAGTAAGATTTAGTATAATATTCCTTAAATATCAAGATGACTCATATTATAGGAGCATTAGTGAAGAAACATTCCATACATGGATTGATTAAAAAAAAACTATTGGTAGGTTCTGATTATTTTTTTATTATTAGAGTTCATATCTTGTCTAATCAAATTTGATGCTTTAAAAATTATTCTAAGTTTTTTAAAAGTAATGAAGTAAATGTTTTTGATAGCTTAAGCTACTCTACAAAATATTGGCTTTTATTAAATAATCCCACACTTACATGCAAATACATTGCTTTTTATAGGGCAGATGATTTGAACGCCTTGCAACTAATAAGTAGCCGAACTTTGAAGCTGCACTTTAGCCTCCATAGAGGCCTTCATCATCATATTAATGTTATGTTTGATTATTTCCACCTTTCTGTTGTGTCTGTTACAGTCCACGCATCATTGGTTGCGCTACACCAGCCACTAATAAGGTAAATTTAACCAGTGCTGTAGTGCTTTTGAATGTAATGTCTTTCCTTTTTGTAATGAAAACATATATTTTGATAAAGATAATTGAAGTAGTAAGGAATATTTAAATTCATAATTATTTAATAAATAGTTTCATTTTATACTAATATAATGAAGTAATAAATTTAAGAACATTGGAACATTAGATTGATAACTTTTCATTACAGAAATGTGAAGCAATCTTTTGTCAATCCCAGATAAGTTGACCAAGAAAAATAATGCAGTCAGGAAATAACCAAACAACATTGTTTAGTTTGTACCTTGTATTTTGATATATTATAATGTAATTACTCATCGTCTGGAAAAGTACATATATATATATATAAAATATATTTACATGGGAGCTCTGGTGGCATAGTGCCTAAGGCACTTGACTGCTAACCAGAAGCCTGGTGGTTCAAACCCACTAGCTACTCCTCGGAAGGAAGATGGGGCAGTCTACTTCCATAGTGATACTGCCTCGGAAACCCAAGGAGGGGTCGCTATGAGTCAGGCCCGACTTGATGCACGTAACAACAACAACATGATGTATATATAGTGTATTTATTTAGCTCTCTTCTCTGGATAAGCTAATTTTATCTTCTTAAATCTGTACTATATAGAAATTCTTGTGTGTAAGTCATTCACCAATTTTATGGATTTATAATTTTTAAATTATACCATGTACGTTTTAGTTTAAAGATACAATATTCTGGAGTATAATAAATGCACTGCTGCCCATTTCCTTGTGGAGATGGATTGTCTTTTATTAAAGTAAGAATACAATTCACATTCTTCACTTTTTATAATAAAATATCATCCTTGTATTAAGTATAAAATCAGTAACTTATGTAGAAAGACTCCTAAATTGTTTTGACTTTTGAATTGAAGATAATTTCAGACAACTAATATTAAGGATGATACATAAGGGATATGCTGCTAAGCTGCTTTTATCAGAAAGCTGAGTAGGTAATTTTATAGAATTACCCTCAGAATTTACAGAAGACATATAATTTAACATATTGCCTGCCCACAAGTAACAACCTCCTGTGGCATAGATCTTTACATTGTTTTAAAAACTGTAATCAAGAACCTCATCCATTGTGTTGCCCCATGATCCCTTACATGTAGATCATCTTGACTACAGTTTCTTTAACACACAGAGCAAGGAAGAAGTTCGCTTCTTTTGATGACTTGATGAATTGCCTTGCCTCTCATTTCTTAGTAAGATTAGTGTAGTTGGTTGTTAATGTATAAGGGTCAAGAAGTAATGTACCGTATTATTTTTATATGGATTGCACATTAGATTTTAATGTTTAAAGTTTATCAATTTATGAAATAAGTTCCTATATTTTTCTGAATCTTTTTGTAGTTTGATTAAGAATTCCTAATTAAACTGTTTAAACTATTTCTATTTTAAAACTCACCAAGACTGTCTTTATTACACTGACTTTCTCTCTTGAAAAATGTATACACAATTTATAAAGGTTAGCACAGGTTATTAATATTACTTCTTAAAGCCTTGATTAAATAGAGTAGTGATATTTACATTATGAATATTAGTGAGTTTTAAATGTGTGCTTCCTCTTGCATTGTAGCAGTTTTTGCCACTGGCAGAACTCAAAACCACCCACTACTGTGGAGTTGGATCTGATTCATAGTGACCCCTCCTTGGGTTTCTGAGGTAGAATCACTATGGAAGTAGATTGCCCAACCTTCCTTTCAAGGAGTGGCTGGTGGATTTGAACTGCCATTTACTGGAAGGAGAAGACATTTTTGGCTCAGAATCAGAAGCCAAGAGGATTAACTATTGGCTCTTGGTTAGTGACTGGAGGAGAAAATGAGGTGCCTGCAATAGCTGAGGTTGCTGTTCTTTACTTTGCTGCCATGGGCCCTTATGTCTCCTCTTTTGCTACTAGAACCCCTGCCAGGGGAAGTAGTAGTATCTTCCCTTTCTTTGCCTATAAATGAGAAGTTGGAAAAGGGAAGCAAAGGTTAAAAGAAAACTTTTTGCTGGTGATGCTGGTAAAGGGGTCATATTAAAGGTAATATTCCTCACTGTTTATACTTAAAGTTTTTCTTGAAGTTTTATTATAGGTGGATTTCTTTTATGTATATAATTGCTTATTGAGTTCATGAGAATATTATTTCACAGAATGATCTCCATATGGCATTTTTTTTTTCCAGAAAGACTTAAGAACTAAATTGGCCCTTTTAACTATAGGTGGTAGATATACATATATATTTTATCCTCTAAACACAATTAAAAAATTTTTAATTTATAATTTTATCCTTTTAAATATTATTTTTTTATTTCAAAAATTTGTAGGGCCAACCCAACTGTAGGTACTAAGTCAAGTATTTAAAATAAATTGATTAGGACTTCTTTCTTTGCTTGTTTTTTATATGATCTGTTTCTTATTTGAATTTTTTTAAAGGATAATTTTTAGGACTCAATCCTGAAAAACACATTGTAGCAAGTGGAATTTACCATTGACTTGCATCTCTCTTTGCTGGGATATAGATATTTTATTTTTGCAAAGCAGATTGATTTTGCAAATGAAGGCTGCTCTGTGCTTATGGCAAAAAAATTATTTAGTTTTTTGTCTTTTCCTTTTTGCCAAACTGTCAAGCAGTCCAGAGGTTTTGGCTACTTATATTTAACCAATGTTTTATCTCAAATATAATTGTGTTTATTTTGAAACATTCAATCAGAAATACTACTCTTATTCTATGAAATTTATAGAAAACTACATATAATGTTACACAAGTCTCTGGGTGGCACAGATGAGTAAGCACTTGACTACTACTCAAAAGGTTGGATTTTTGAACCCATCCAGAGATATTTGAAAGTAAAACCTGGTGATGTGCTTCCAAAAGGAAGCCTTAAAAACCTTATTGAGCATTTCTACTCTGCACACATGGGGTCATCATGAGTTGAAATCGACTCAAGGGCAACTAACAACAATGACAACAAAATGTAATGTTAATACTAACAGAAACAGCTTACATAATATGTGATTGAGGTGATTCCTTGAAACATTTATAAAGATTATTTTAATTATAATACTCATAGCCTTTTAGTGAAGAAAATTAAGAGAAGGATATATCTTATTTTTGAGAAATGGAGACGTCAAGTTGATTTAGTAATTTTTCTTTTTCTACAGTTAAATGGGAACTCTTTATTTCTATAAATAGCCTGAATATTTGTTAATTTTTTTAAACTTGCGAACCAGTTCTAATTCATCACTATTTCCAAATTGAAACTTGATCCTCATTTGTCATTTAGCCACTCTGGATCCCACATGTTTTATCTTTACTATCCTTTGAAACTCCTTGATTCCCAGCCATAGAAAGCAGTCTTAAACATGTAGACTTAATTGTTTATAATCATTATATCTCTTCATAATAACACAAATTAATAAAGGAAAAATTATAAAATTAAGATTACTTTAGAAGTCATAACCTTGCACAACCTTTGTTCTTTATTTTCTTCATATAAAATTTTCCTTAATATTCAACTGACATTCAAGTCGACAATTATGACAATAATAATGTAATACTTATTCCTACAGCTTTCCTCGTCCAGTGAAGACTACTTGGTTAAATAGAAATGCACCAGCACAAAACAAAGATTCTGTGATTCCTACTCTTGAAAGTGTGGTCTTTGGTATTAACTACACAAAACAGTTATCACCAGATGTAAGAACTAAATATGTTTATAAATCCTTTTTTCCCTCTTGTTTCAAATGAAATGTTTTTAACTGTTTTCTCTGTGAATGTGATGATATTTCTTTTATTAATTACTTGAGCCCAACAACATGCAGATCTAATTGAGCATGATCTTAACAAATTGGGTGGTTATAGTTGTTTATTATGAAAATGAACCTGACACTTTAAGATTTTACTAGATTTAATGGATAGAGATCTTTGATGGTAGCCAGTGCCATTTGAACTTCCTACCATCACCACTTGCTTCCTTAACAGAACTGTTGTAATCAGTTCCTATAGTTGAGACCCAGCTTGAAGTTGTACAGTTATAGCCACTGTACTCTAAAGGAAAGGAAACTTGTACTGTAAAAGTATATAGAGTATCTGTGGCATAGTCCAAATGTAATTTGATTCTCAAATTATCAGAACATCTTAATTCAGTATGCTTATTTTTAAAAAAAATCTACCAAAACTGAAATTACTAGAGGTGCATTTCATGTTTAAAGTATTTGTATGAACAAGAATAATTCTAAACGTTTTCTGATTTCTTTTATGTTTTAGAATAACTAAAATAACTAATAAATGTTCAGTATTTTTTCTTTGTTTTTCTTACTTTGAAGTATACTACTTTAAGATTTTTGTTTACTGACACCCTGTACCCAAAATCTATTCTTTCTTTAGGGATGCAGTTTCATCATTGCGGACTCCTTCCTACATCATGCCTATAATTTTCACTATACGCTTTGTGCCACTTTGCTGCTAGCATTCAAGGGATTGCACAGCTACTTCATTACGGTAACAGAAGAGATTCCCTCTTGTCAGAAACTAGAACTGGGTATGTTAAAAGTAGCCAGACCTATCCTACAGTTCAATTCATTCTTTCCATTCTACTAGTTATCAGCAAAGTTTTTCTATACTAACACTTTATATTTATGTACTTCTCTTTCTTTCTCAATTCTCTTTTTCAACCCTTGCTAAATCATTTTCTTCAATTTGAAAATTTTTTACAACATTGTGAAATAACTTCCTGGTGCTAAATTTGAAATGAGTCTTCTGGTAGACTTTATTTTCAAAAACATTGGACAAAATACTGTTCTTCTTAAAATATAACCAAAAAGCATACTAGAAAGCAAACATAATTCTCTACTGAATCCTGGAACATAACATTAAAGCCATACCTCCATTTAACAGTCTATCTAGATTGTAGGTATTTGGGGTATTCATATACATTTGACTTTAAGTAATCTTAAAGCTCTATTTAATTTATTTCACTTGATGGAAGGCTGGCGGTTCAAACCCACCAGCCACTCCTTAGAAGGAAGACTGGACATCTGCTTCCATAGAGATACTGCCTTGGAAACCCAAGAAGGGGTTGGTATGAGTCGGAACCAACTCGATGGCAGTGAGTTTTGTTTTTTTTGGTTTGATGGAATACCAACATCAATTACTTTATGGTTTACCATTTTGAAAATTATTTAAATAAAAAAATCAAGCTTCAGTATTAGTCAAATAATAATACTACATATATGATGTAGAGCATAATAAAATTATATTGCCTTGATTTTGAATGCCACTTTTTGTTTGCAAAGCACTTTTACATACATCATATCACAAAGGATAAGTTATTGGAATTTCCAAATAACTTTTTACTCACATTTAGACTATCTCTTGTTTTCAATTAAAAAAAAAAATTCTCCAAATATTTTCTTAATGGGTCTTTGGTACTCAAAAACATTTTCCTAGGAGAATATTATAAATTTTGCTTAGGCTCAATGACCAGACCACAAAAAAGGGATGGTAGAATCCAGGGAGATATTATCTTGTGCTAAAGAGTGCATGTTTGAAGCCATTTTGTCACTAACTTTGTGACAATTATTACAAAGTGATTTCCATTCCTTAAGGTAGGAAGATTGAAAGTAATCAGGTGTAATCAGTAGCCAGGTGGCAGATGATATTCCTACTACGTATGTATTTGTATGTGCTGTAAAAATGTTCCTATGCAATTTAAGCATAACAAGAGGCAAAGTTAGGATGACTTCTTAGCTACAAATAAGCACCTTGAGGGAGTGGGACACTGGGCCTGTGGGCTAGGAACCATGGTTGCAGGGGTCATTAAGCTCAGTAGGCACAACATGGTATATAAAAACACTATTCTTCATTTTCAGTGAGTAGTGACTGGGGTCTTAAAAGCTTGGGAGCAACCATCTTAGTGGCAACTATTGGTCTGTTCTCATTGTTAGCAAAGAATAATGAAGAAAATCAAAGACACATGGAAACAATTAGTCCAAAGGACTAATGGACCATGAGAACATCATCCTGTATGACCCTGAGACCAGAAGAACTAGATGATTCCTAGCTACCAATGTGAACCACTCGGAAAGGGATCAAAATTGGAGATCCTGGATAGAGTGGGAGAAAATGCGGAACAAAACTCAAAATCATAAAAAAAAAAAAAGACCAGGCGTACTGGTCTGATGGCCCCAAGTCACTCTTTGGGCCTGGAATTGAACTCATTACTGTGCCTTAACTCTCAGCCTAATAATAGAGAGACTTGCCAGCTGAACACCTACTCAAGGAGATGTACTCCTTATAGAACTATCAACCACTGGAGAATAGAAGGGCACCATTTGCATAGGGAGAAAGGTAGGCAGGAATGCACAGGCAAGAGGGACACAAATGTGGAGGAGTAAGGAGAAAAGGTGAGGACATACAAAAGGTATAGGGTATAAAGGAGCTCTTGGAGTAAGATTGCTTGTCAATGTAATTCCTTTGGGCTTTTTATGAGTACCCACTATGTCAGGTAGGGTACTGAGGAAAGGATAGGGTCTCTGTCTTTAAAGAGCTTTGAGCTGTCCTCTAGCAGCAGCAGTAATATGTTATCAATTCATCATTAGGATGGACAGAGCAAAATCAACTAGCAAGACAGAGCTTCTTGTGGTTTATATATATATATATTGTTGTTGTTGTTGTTATGTGCCGTCGAGTCGGCCCCGACTCATAGCGACCCCTCCTTGGGTTTCCGAGGCAGTATCACTACGGAAGTAGGATTGCCCAACCTTCCTTCCGAGGAGTGGCTGGTGGGTTTGAACCGCCAGCCTTCTGGTTAGCAGTCAAGTGCTTTAGCCACTATGCTACCAGAGCTCCTATATATATATATATATATATTTGTAAGATGAACCTAAAATGCTTGTTCATCTGCATATAATTTTCAGAATATATTTTATAAATGAAAAAATATATAAACCACATTTTAACTTAGAAATCTCTCTAGAGGAAGTATGTTTATTAATAAAATTCAGAATTAGTAATTTTTAAAAGTTTTTTTTTGTGAAGGCACAGGTTTATTTCTAATAGCTTAGATAATATTTGCACTTTATTACTGTTTGTTAATCCAACTTCAGCATGATAATTCATTTATTAGGTTTTTAATTTTCTCTTAGGTAAGGAATTTTTTTGTCATATATATTGCTTTGAAGTTGGAAATATAGATAGAAATTATCATAATTGAGAGATCCCTTGAAATTTAATTTCAGGAGTCATGACTGAATGTCAAGTTTATTTCAAATTATTTGATTATATTTTATCAGAAAATAAAATTCTAAAGCAAATACAAACTTTATTGTTATATGAGTAAATAATAGCAACAAAATAAAATTCTGAATACCTTATATACAGTATTTGGGAGCTCTAGTGGCGTATACTTGACTGCTAACTAGAAGGCTGGTGGTTCAAACCCACCAGCCACTCGGAAGGAAGGCTGGGCAATCTACTTCTATAGTGATAACACCTCGGAAACCCAATGGGGGGTCACTATGAGTCAGATCTAACTCGACAGCAGTGAGTTTGGGGTTTTTTTTGTGGTTTTATAGATAATATTAAAGTATATTTGTGAATGAATAAAACAACAAAATCCTGTTTTGTTACTTGAAAAAGTATAGTCATCAACACATAGCTTACAGCAGTTTCCTAGGAATTTTTAAAAACAAGACTCATCTTTAATAAATAATTTTAATTACCAATAAATAATAATACTTTGTGTATTTAAACCTTTCTTTACTATTTATAATGAATTTTAGTTTATTCTTGATTACATCTTCCATCTAAAAATGCTATTAACTATTTAAAATAAAAGTATTGCATATTCTGGACTGTTAGCATTGCTTATTTTTATCTTACCAAAGTAAATACCAAGTACTAGAATATATTTCCATAATACCCTGTTGACCAAAGATCACTCCACTCACCAGTTTTAATAAGTACATATAAAGTAGTCTTGATTAAAGGATGTATTATTATATTTTCTTTTATTATTTAGCACTTATCTTGAATTTTCAAATGAGCATGTTTTTAAAAGTCTTAAACTCCAACATGCTTTAAATTTTATATAAACTCTATTCCCTATTTTAAAATAATGCCTTAAATTCTTCTTTCTATCTTTGCCTTTTTTTTTCTTTAGATGAATGATGTACATTTTTTTGATGGTTAAATATTGATTTCATGCAAGGAACACTTAAAGAAAATGGGAGTCAAAGGTCCTATAATCTAGGCTTGGCAAATCTCTTAACCTTTCTGAGCCTCAGTATCTGCAGTTATAAAAGTTGAGGGTTGCTCTACCTGATCTCTAAGATCCCAGCCAACTCTAAAATCCTAAGTAATTAAAACATAAAAACAATATTGGATTATTAAATGTTGAATGGCACGTTAAGTAGAAAAAAGAACAAAGTAATATAAACTTGAATGTACATCATTTGTAATTCTAATAAGCTAATTAACTAATGGAAAGATTCTGCTTTAGTGTTCTAATCTAACTGCACTATTAGGTTTTCAATAATAAAGTTTCTTACTAACAAGTTGGTAAATTCTAGTAAATTTTGTTGAAAAAGGAGTGTAGTAACTAGTACTGTGTGCAATCCTTATAACTAGCCAAGGCCAACATGCAGGTCCTATATGAGCGCCTTCTCAGAAGAAAACAGCAACGAACCCAGAAAGACACCTGTCTAGGTATGTTTACAAATAGGTTAAATAAATATTCCCTTTAAATTAATAAGAAATTTTGCTTTAAATTAGTGTTCAATTTCATAAATATATATTTATTAATAGAGTATGTTTCACCACTCATTTACTTTTTAGAATAAATTTGGTTTGTAGATAACCTTTGGTTAATCTTTTAATTAATTTATAATATTAAGATTTTCATTTAAGGCTGGAAAATGGCAAATGCAAATACCTCTGGTTTTTTCCATATTTTTTCTAGAGTTCTTATGAAGAGCACTTTTTGGAAACTGTGTTTATTATCATTTGTTGCTTGAATGATAGTTCCTTCAATTTGGTCAAAGTAATTTTTTCTTTGTATAGGCCTAATAATAAAGAAAAATGGTTAAAAAAATTGAACCTATTTCCATGCATTGTAAAAGTAAAGAAGGAAAAATCCCTGGTATCTGGTTTGGATGGTTTTTTAGTCGATTTGCATTTAATTTTACTATTCTAGGGAGAAAAACATTCAAGTCACTACTGTCCAGATATGTTACATGTGTTAAAGAAAATATTCTGACCTTATTATGTTAATGCTGTATTTCCATGTATAATTTGCTCTTTAATATCAGTAGTACTTAATTTACTATCTTTCACTGAGAAGCATATTGCATTGAATCAACCGTCACAATTTCATAATTAGAAATTTAAAGAAAAAATAAAATCACAGTATTTGTTTCTTGGTTTTTAAAAGTATGACCAAAAGGAAACTGAAGAGCCAAATACTTTTCAACATTTCTCAGATGAAAAGCAGCCCAGGAATATTAAAGTGGAGTCAGTTTTCATCTAAATAGTTAAGGGAAGAAAAAAGAAAGGTTGAAAATTATTATAAAAATTTATAATCATTCTTTTTGGAATATATTTTTATATATTCTCATGTGAAGTAACTATAAAATTAAACAATTCAGTTGGAAATTATGAGTATTTGTAATATGTTTTAATGTTCTTTCTAGTAATTAAAATATATTTCTAATTTAAACCATTATATTACAATTCCTATCAATTTATGTGTGAGCATTCTAAATGTTACAGAATGCTGCTTTACATAATAAGGCCTGTAGAGAAAAAGGGGGCTAGTTTTTGGTGGGGAAAAAAGGCTTGATCCAGAACTAAAGTTCTTGCTATCCTCAGATTATAAACGAGTTCCATTCCTAAATTAGTCTTCAAGTCAAATTTGTATGTAAGTCAGAACAGTTCAGTACAGTTCCTATCTAACATCAGCCAGTCAAATATTTGTCTTACTGTATGGTGTATTTCTTTATGCATAAAAACATTAAAGAAATACGTTTGGATACACTAAAACATCTTTAACATAATGCAGTATAATAATAATAGTGTTTTGATGTGCATCACAAAGTAATGTCTGTTATTACAAACCATTGTATATACCTAGAGTTTTTAATATAAGAGGCTTTGTATTAAAGGGGTTGGTTTAACTCATAACATTTGTAACCTGGGGACTGCCTGTATAATGAAGTTAGTTAAGTAATATTTTTATTGAGATATCTTTTACCCTTAAAAGCTAGCCTTGTATTAGCATTTCCTGGGCTGTTATAAATATCTGTTGAATGAATATATATGGAAGGATAGATTTAGAAAAAAATTTAAAATGCATGGACTCTGAGCCAGTAAGCCCATTAACAGTAATGTGTATCGTAGAAATAAGAGCACTAGTGTATAAAAATGTATGTCCAAGCACTGTAGTGGAAAAACACTGAAACACTGAAAATAAAGATAAATGCCCAACATTTGGTTAACATTTGATTAAAGACTGGAATATGGAATAGATTATAATGCATCCACAACATGGAATACTACATAGCCATTTTAAAAAATACTTTGGAACTGGGTACCAAACTTCCATGGAATATTATTGAGAGAAAAAAAGCAAAATCCAATAAAATATGTAAAATACAATTCCATTTTTGTAAAACAAAGTGACTCAAAAACTCCCATATATTTAATATATATATGAAAAATATTGAAGGATATGTTCTAGACTGTAAACTTAGGTTGGTAGGAGGAGCCAGGCCAAAAATAAAACATATATAAGATAATTATCACATTTATACATTTTTATAAAATTACATATATGGATATACATGCAGTCCTTGGGTTGAACATCCAACTTATACAACCCATAGTTTCTAACCAATTCCCATAAAACCTTTTACATAAAATTCAGGGTACATACATGGCTCGTAATAACGGATGAATGCTACTTTGTGATGTACATGAAAACATTATTATTATTGCTATATTATGTTAAAGACATTTGAATAACTGATGTTAAATACGAACCCTACTTAACTGTTCTAACTGAAGTACAAATTCAACTTACAGACAGATTTAGAAACAAAACCATTTGTAATCCAGGAAATGCCTATATTTGTCATTTTTAAAAGAAAATAATTACCATAGAATTTAAAACTCACGGTTAAAAATCCTAAATGATTTTAAAATCATTTTAATTCAAGATTTGGAAGTTAAGTTTTATTTTAGACCATGAGATAATGTTTATATTGAAATGGCTCCCATTAGCCAAAGGGCAAACATGCATCTAGTCTCTTACATGTAAAGATTAAAGTAATGTATCAAAGCTCAAAACTTTTTTTTTTAATTTTTTAATTTTTTTTTTAAATTCAGCGGTAGGTTTTGTAACCCATTAAGACAATGTTACTAATTTTCTTCTCACAGGAAAAGATCATGAGTAATGTGAAAACAGATATGGGCAAATGAAAGTTATGATTTGAATATTAGGTCTGCTGTTGATTTTTTTTTTAAGTCTCAGAAAACCTTAATATTAGAAGCCACTGATATATCTGCAGTGAGATGATTTACAAAATCATAGTGAATTTCTTTAGTTGTCTATTAATTGACCAAATTAATGATCTATGTAATATCACCTAGTTAGTGGTGATATTTCTTGATGTATTTTAATATATAAATATAATTTTATGTACGTTTTGGAAACCATGAAGTATGATTGTTTCCCATTAATTTTATTCACCAACAGAATTTTATTCACCAACAGAATATATGTTCATATTATAGTTTAATTGTATTTACCACATAACCGTGCCTGGTTATATTATCAAATTTAAATGTTTATAATTCTTTTTATAAAGCAGTAAACATTCATTAAACATTCATTCCATTTTATGAGATAATGAGCTGAGGGATGAGTTCAGGGATGCCATAGAATATATTCTTGCTTTTGTGCAAAAATGATCTATTAAAACGTCTTTTAGCAACAAGATTATGGGATTTTGTTTGATTGTAACTACACTTCCATGAATCTTTCAAGAGAACTAATGTTAGTTTGATTTCAAGTTAAAAATTAAATATATCTAAAGATGATATTTCAGATCTTAATAAAATTCCTTTCTTATAAAATAATAAATTTTTATATTCTGTTAGTTTCTCTATTCTCATGAATAAATTACTGTTTTAATTGTAAGTTAATGTATATACTCCTTTATAGACAGTTATAGCATACATTAAATAAATCAGATAGTGTGGTAAAAATCTGCCTCAGCTTAAGAATATCTTATGTAAAAGTGAATTTATTAAACTAAATTAGGAACTTTTTATTGAAATAGATCTTATTTTCATTTTCATTAAATATTCTGTACTCCAGGTTTATTTTAAATGTATTTCAGTTATAAAGATTAATTTGACTTAAACTTCTTAGCAATAGCTTTTTCAAAAAGCAAGGCAGGCCTGCATATAATACAAAACACTAAGCTTTTATGGAAATTACAAAATATGAACTATAGTAAAAGCTAATACATGTTTTATTTTGTCTGTTTACAGTTGTACAAATTACTAGTTAGGCTTACAGTCAGTATTTCTATGACATTATTAGCCCCTGGCGTGAATTGAAACATGTTACTTAATCCTTACATAGAATTTAATACTTAGTTATCATGCTATCTACATAATTAAGATGTTTATGAAAATATGTTGAAATTTAATCCATTGAATTTATGTCCAGATATTTCTCAATATTCTGGCTTTTTAAGGGTAATTTAATTCATTTATATAATTTCAAAAATAGTTTTCACCTAATATTGATATGTTTCCTCTAATTACTCTTTCTTTCAGAGGAAATGGATATACAAGCTCGACTTACTGAACTATGTGAAGAAGTTAAGGTACTTGGATTTTTAATTCATGTGATCAAGTTACTTGGGTAGTTTGTTTCTTCTTAACATTTTGTCTAAGAAAAATTTAATTATCTTTAATAATTGCAAAGATGAAATGGTTCTTCATGGTAAAATTACAACTTATTGATCAAAAGACATTTGACTTTAACATGAGATTAATTTATCTTTTAAAATGTATATTCTGCATAAATGACATAATAGGAAAGACGATTCCAAAAAAACCAAACCCACTGCCACCAAGTGAATTCTGATTCATAGTGAACTTGTAGGACACAGCAGAACTGCCCCATAGAGTTTCCAAGGCTGTAAATTTTGGAACTTACTTTTTATGGAAATGGATTTTATATTCATTTTCATTAAATATTCTATACTCCAGATATCTTTTAAATGTATTTCAGGTTATAAAGATTAATTTGATTTAAACTTTTTGGCAATAGCTTCTTCAAAAACCAAGGCAGGCCTGCATATAATACAAAATACTAAGCTTCCATAAGAAAGCAGACTGCCTCATCTTTCTCCCATGGAGTGGCTGGTGGGTTCGTACCATCGACCTTTTCATTAGCAGCTAAATACTTTAACCACTATGCCTCCAGAGCTCCTTTTGGAAAGACAATTAGCTGATAAAAAATGTATATTTTCTTTTATTTGTTAAAAGGGTTTCTGGGCAAATTTGTAAAGCATCACTTAAACATATACTTTCGTAAAGTGATGCTGTTTATAAATGAAGAATGATCTTATTTCAGGATATCGATGTATGTGTCAATTTTTCCAGTTCACTATTGTGATTAAATTGAGACTTGTCTAATTTTTGTGTTTTTTGTCAAGGAACTAAGTGTTTTATATATTTAAAATCACTGTGCATTTCATCTAAGTCTGCTACATTAATTGAATAAATTAGAGTCATCAGTTAAACAAAAAAATATACCTGAAGTTGGGATGTTTTTCTGCATGTAAATTTGAATGAGGACCTAGGGCCCCTTGAGAATCTGAAAAGTTATTTATTTTTCCCTTAGAGAAGTGTGTGTGTATTTACACACACACATATATGCATGATACACAAGTAGTTTTATATGCTATCATAGAAGTTTTTCCCCACATTAAAATAAGTATTTTTTTAAATTCCTAATATTCTTACAATAGTTACTTCAAAGAATATTAAACACTTAGAAATATCTTAATAAAATATATGTATAATTAATATGAAAAGAAAACATCTGTGATGTTTCACTGAGAGGTTTGAAACAAAACAAAAACCAAACTCACTGCCATCTATAGTGACCCAATGGGACAGAGTAGAACTGCCCACAGGGTTTCCAAGACTGTAAATCTTTATGGAAACAGACTACTTCATCTTCCTGAGAGTAGGTGGTAGGTAGGTTTGAGCCACTCACCTTTATGTTAGCAGCTGAATACTTTAACCACTGTGTCACCAGAAGTCCGTGAGAGATTTAAGGAAAAATAGACATACGGTGTTCTTTGATGGAAATATAATCACTAAAAGATACTAAGTCTTCTCAAGGGAGTAATTTTAATGCTTCCAAATTAAAATCCCAGCAATTTTTTTTAACTTGAAATTATCTTAAAGATAATTTGAAGAAGAGTAAGAGTGGCTAATGCAGTCAGCCGCAGGGATCCAGGTAAGGAGAGGAACTCAGCCACGCCCAAATCAGCAGTGACGAAGAGCAGGAAAAAGGGGATTAAAAGCCAGGAACCTGGACAGAGGAGCAGTCAGCTGCAGGGATCCAGCTGAGGAGAGGAACTCAGGCACGCCCACAGCAGCAGTGAGGGAGAGCAGGAAAAAGGGGATTAAAAGCCTGGAACCCTGACAATGGAGCAGTCAGCCACAGGGATCCAGGTGCGGAGAGGGAAATCAGGCACGCTCAAAGCAGCAGTGAGGGAGAGCAGGAAAAAAGGGATTAAAAGCCAGGTACCAGGACAGAGGACCAGTCAGCCGCAGGGATCCAGGTGAGAAGAGGGAACTCAGGAACGCCCAAAGCAGCAAGGTGGGAGAGTGGAAAAAGGGGATAAAAAAGCCAGGTACTCGGACAGAGGAGTAGTCAGCCGCAGGGATCCAGGTGAGGAGAGGAACTCAGGCACGCCCAAAGCAGCAGGGTGGGAAAGTGGGAGAAAGGGGATTAAAAGGCCTAGGAATCTGGACAGAGGAGGAGTCAGTCACAGGGACCCAGGTAAGGGTGGTACGAGAGGTTTCCAACAGTGAGGCAAACTTGTCTGTCAGTTTTTCCTATCGTGGTGACATGTTGATGTGAGTTTTGAGGCTGAGCCACTGGTGTTTCTAACCCAGCGGGATACACATGGTGCACAGGTATTAGCCCAACTTACAGACTGAGACAGACTAGGAAGAAGGAAGAGTCTGTCTACTTCTCAAAGAATTGGCCAGGGAAAACCTTATGTATAGCAAAGAAACACTGTTTGATAGTTTACCACGCAACTTTATGAATAGTCCGGTTAGGTTATAAGGCTCTCAAAATAGGACTGGGGAAAAGCTGCATCATTTGAGTAAACCCAGCCTTACTCCTATAGATAAGGTAAAGCTTTCAAGACCTCCATTTGCTGATGTGGCACCACTCAAAT